CATATATATTCTATTTATACATGATTTGGATGTCCTCTGAGTTTGTTGGTTTGGTCTTTGGTCAATCATGTACGTTGGTCTTCAGATTGAGATTCCTCCATACTGTAGGTTGGTTTCAGATCCAAATTCCGTTGCTTTTGTTTCTTTGGTTTCTTTGTAATGCCGGGAGTATAGGTACTACTTTGTGTGGTATGCCGTAAGCAACGATGGATGTCAATAGCTCGGGTGAAGAGGAGGAGCCAGTGAGACATTCGTGTGTTGTACTCATTATCCAATGGTTCGGAGGGGCATGAGTACGGGACTCTGGTATGCCCGGGAGATGAAGGCGGATCCCTGCTAGTCCTTGGTATTCTTTTTGGTTATGCATAGAGGCTCGGACATACCCGGATGATGATTGTGGGTCTCTGCTAGTCCTGTGCATTATGTTGTATCGTGGATATATGATATATTGATACGTTTGTTATGATTGATTTCTATGGAACTCTTGAGAGGGGTGATTATGTATGCTATGACTAATATTCAGAACGTGATTACGGTATGACATCATTGATATGATTGGATTCTCAGAAAATGATCATTGGAATCGTTATTGTTGATTTATTACGGTATGTCTTGGTATGTGTACGGACGAATGGTTTCTCTTATTGAGCATATCTTCGGTTTGTTTTCTTACCACTACCCCCCCCCACACACACATATATATATATATATATATATATATGTAATGCTAATATTCTTTGTTTAATTCAATTAATTCACTAAACCACGTGCTTAATCTGAATTCTCCAACATTTTTTCCAGAAAAAAGAATTAGACAAGAAAAAGGATCCGGTGAAGTAGTTGATTCGATTAAAGTCGAAGAACTTGATCTAGCTTTTGGTACATGATTTGTGATATTTTTTTTGCAATATTTTGGTGTGTCTGTATATTTTAATCATTCCAGGTAGTTATGTTATGTCCCGGTTGGTTTAGTTTCATTCGGTATGTAAGAATTAATAATTTTGGTTGTGTTTGACTTTATTGAGTCAAATCGTTTGAACATTTTTTGTGGTTTTAAACTAAAATTTATATCCCGTATGTTTTGGAGGTTTAAAGTTAATGTTTTGATGATTATGGGTTAATTGGACGTTTTGTAACGACGGTGTTACAACATGGAAAGTCTTATTATATGGAATCATTTATTCACCTCAGTAAATAATACAACAATGATTCAACTTATGGAATTATTTCGTAAGGTAAGTTTATTTGCATCATAAATTTGAATGTATCCATATGGTGAATAATCTTAGAAACCTTTAAATTGCATTTACGAGTTCAATGAACTAAATTTGAAAAATGTTACATCTGATCATGATTTTCGGAATTAAAGGTTCTTTATCGTTATTTCTTCGATCATTTGCCATAACTGATTATCCAATTTCACTTCGAATCGAAGTAAATGTATGGAGGTGGAGATGAACAATTATCTGATATGAAATAATTTTTGGATTTTTATATGCCCACGCACGTATCACACAAAAACATGAATAATGAATATGTAAATCTATAGGGTCACACACAAAGAATACGCAACCTGAATTATGTGATGTTGCTTGTTAAATGATTATCCTTGTAGAATTATTAAAAGTAAATGTTAAAAATATAATTATAATAATTATAAAGTTTTATTTCTAAAATGTATTTTAGGTATTAATTTTATTATGATTAATAAAATCAAATAAAACAGTTATGTGCTTAAGGATAATCACAAGCCCACCCCACAATTAGGTTTTATAGTTAGTTTATGACTTAGGGGCCGTTTATTAAATATTTACTTGGTAAGTGCTTATCGGATGAACTTCTTCATCGGATAAACATGACAAGGGTCAAAAATCTTACCGGATAAGAGTAATGAGAATGATGAAGAGTCTTACCGGGTAAGCTGTTGCATTCAATACGTTTTGATGTACTAAAATTTTACACATCAAAATACATTATAGTATTAACTCATATCGATAAGCACTTATCGGGTAAGCATTTAGGTAAACAGCCCCTTAGATAAACTAACTATAAGTATAAATAAAAGGATAAGCCTAAACCTACAAGGTTAATCAAATGATCTTTTAGATTTAGAAATTACTAGAAAATAGAAAAGAAACATTTTCTTTCTTTCCTATAAAAAACACATACTAGATTAAGGTTTTGGGCTAGCATCTGGTAGGGGCGAAAATCTGTTCAGATGTGGATCTACAACAGAGTAAATCTATTTTGATTTTTAAGTACTCTGTCAAAACCAACTTCAAGTCTAAATAGGCATGGGGAATGGCCCTCGACCTGTCGAGGAACTAGTCCACTAGCCCAGTCGACGACGGGGATTCCCTGCTAAATCGAGGATAGGGATGGGGATCCCCTTTTTTCTCAAACCGGGATGGAGATGGGGACAAGTATCGCACTCCCCACCCCGTCTCGTACCCGTTATATATATATATATAAATTAATAACTTAAATATATATTATTTATTTCAACTAAATTAGTAATTCATATTTCTTATTTCCTAACTAGCTTTAGAATCTATAATTGTTATTTTTTGGATGTTAATATGTAATATTTTGGATGTCAAGTCAAAATACAATCTCGATATGTTTTAGATACTACTCGATATGGTTTTGGATATTACTTGATATATTTTAGTACGTGTGACGTTAAGTTTTTTCTTCGATTGAATCAAATTTCATTTGGTTTTAGCTTATTAATTATCATATGATGTTGTGGATTGTTTTGTATTAAATTAAATTCCTTTTGATTGTAGGTTTATTGGAAATTTGTGAAATTTAAACATGTATGGTGTCTCACATATTTAATTTAGAATATCTTACAGAAACAGGAAAAAGTCCCCGTTTCCCCGTTGGAGATGGGGATATGATCATATTCTTCGGTGGAGATGGGAACATGAACATGAATAAGTGATTGGGGACGGTGATTAAGGTCCCCACCCGATTCCCATGCCTAGATCTTAAAGGTAACCTTCCTAAAACATCCTACGGTTTGTTTAAGATTCTTTTTAAATGTTATTGGATTCGGCTACGGTTTCTTTTTAGAAAAGTTCTATAAATAAGTAACCTAAAATATTTGTTAGCTGCATTTTTAAAAGGTTACAAAATTATTTTGAAACCATACACCTTTAATATGTGTTTAATGAAATAAATTCTAGAATACCCTTTCAATCTCATTACTACTCGATAAAAATACCCTTGATTTAAATTAATCCATTTATTAGATTAGTTTTCAAAGTCTTCAACCTTTTTTTAAGTCATTATATGATATGATTCATATTATATATTTATTTCCGGAAAGGTAATACAAAATAAATATTAAAGCAAACATCAAATTTGGTCCTTGTGGTTTGTTGTTTGTAACAGTTTTGATTCTTACAATTTTGAAATTACAATATGATCATTGTGGTTTGTAAAAATGTTCAGATTTGATCCCTCCTTTTAACGATCGTTAAAAAATCCCGTTAGATGCTGGGTACTTTAGTTTTTTTTTTTTTGCATTTTATTCTCACTTTTTTATTAAAAATAAAATAATGTAAATTACATGGACCAAAAATATAATTTACTCTAATATATAATTTTATATGTGTAAATAAAAATTGCAAACCAAAATACACGAGGCCTCCGAATGCCTTTGACACCTTCGATGAACTATCCAACCAACACCCCGGTGAACCCTCCAGCCAATGTTTCCGCTAAATCATCCAACCAACACTCTAGTGAACCCTCCAGTAACCGCCTCCCCCATACAATCCACCGCCTCCCCCTGTCACTTTGACGACTCTTTCCCTCACCAGTGAACGCACATCCCCTTGGAACAACTTCGTCGGCCACACCCATGTGGACCTCGATGGCTAACACAATCTTACCCCACCCTTCCCTCCCGTCAACACCATTCTCGATCCGTCGCCCATTACATTTACTCAAATTTCTTTAAACCATATTTTTTTATCGACATGAACATATAGTGGATCCCAAAAATTCTCCATGAGTCAATAAAATTCATCTTCAACAAACAAAAATCTTTCCAGGTCATATTTGGACTGAAACACCCACTTTTGGTTCAATTAAGATTTCTAGCTTTTCAATGTGTGTGGTAGATGTAGAAGTAAAACATGGGTATAGAGGGTTAGGGTGCTTGTCGAAGAAGAGGACTAAGAGGGAGAGGTTGCTCGTTAGAGATGGAGGTGTCGGGATGAGAGATGTAAGCATCGGAGTGCAGGAGGGATTGAATGTCTTAGTGTTTTATATTAGAGTAAAGTTACATTTTGGTCCTTGTAATTGTACATATTTATTTATTAAAAAATGAGATAAAAGTGTAGAAAAACTAAAATAACCCCGACTTAACGGGTTATTTTAACATCCGTTAGAGGTAATGACCAAATCCGGTCGTTTTTGCATACCACAATGACCATCTTGTAATTTCAAAACTATAGAGACCAAAAGTGTTACAAATAGCAAACAACAGGGACCAAATTTGTAGTTTAGTCTAGATATTATTACAAATTGTGTCTGTTTTGGAGGAAACCATACGTAAAATAAATTGGAGAGTCAAAAGAGAGTTATACGGGGTGCATGTAATGTGTAAAATCAACGTCATTGAATCCTGAAAATTGGGAGTACTGATTGCTGATTAGGAGGTCCCAATTTCTGCTTGACCATCCGGTTTCCGTTGGAAAATTTCGCCCTCATTCCCAATTTCTCACTTTTCCTTCCATCATTTCCCATTTTTCTTGTAAAATTATTCAATTTCTTCAACAAAGGTATAATTTTCTTCTGTTTTTGATCTTGTTTGCATTAGTTTCGCCTTGGTTTTCTACAATGTTGAGTTGCACGATCGATTTTGATAGCCCGGATGAACTTTGAATACATTCTTGATTGTATCATTATTGTAAACGTGTTTATTAAGATTTTGTTGTGCTTGAAATGCAGGTTACTTTGATTGAAAACGTATACTTTTGAATCCCATGATGCTTAATACCAAAACCCACAACGCTGATTCAAAAAACAACACGGGTGATACGAGAAACAACCATGCTGATTCGAAACACAATAATGCTGATTCAAAAATGAACATAGCTGATTCGAGAAACAACCATGCTGATTTGAAAAATAACCCTGATTCCAAAACCAATGCTGATGTTCCTTCTCATGTATGAATTGTCTTCATAATTAGCAGATATCTGCATATTTTTATCAAAAACTTCGTTTGGAGTACATAAGCATGACTCAAGATAGTTTAACAATAAGTTGTTTTCACTGTTTATCTTGTTTTAGGGAGATGGTGGTGGTGATAATATGCCACCTTCTTCTGCAGCAGCTCAACCGTTGGAGAGACAACGTTCTCATAATGGCAGCAAGGTATGCCTTTCTTTTTTTTCCTTTTCTTCTAACTACTTGCATAGTGACCGTTATTGCATTCTTTACGAATTAGAATTTTGTAATAAAATGTATCATCGACAGTTTTTCCATTTAAAATATTTGTTGTTTGCAATTCTCTATAGTTTCGAAATTGGAATTAAGCTGTTTGGCATTAACGAATGAAGAGTTTCTTTTTTGGGAATGGTGTTGTGAATTCATCAATTGTCTGCTACCTATTTTGTTGATCATGGTTCACTTTATCCTTTTTGGCTTTCTTTCTCCTTTCGTTTGAAGATCGCACATGATGCTTGAGTTTTACTGTGATTTGTCAAAAATGACTTGGTTGATTAATCCACAGAGAACAAAGAAAAGTAGGTGTTTGCTTGACTCCTCAGTTATAAAAGTAGGATATGTGGTCTGTTATTATACTTTGTTTTATTTTTCCTTAATTATCTGCATAAATTTTGCTCCAAGTAGGATATATATATATATATATATATATATATATATTATATCACCATGCAAGTCTATGATTTGTCTATTTTTTCTACTTCAAATGTGTAGAAGAATTTATAATTCACAAAACTTTACTTCGAATTCCAAATGTTTTTAGGTTTCTGGTTTCCCGTAAAGGAAAACCGATTATCACATATATGATGCTCATGTATTGTATGATCAGAGAAAAACATTTAACTGATGCGGCTTATGCAATCTGTTTGAAATTAACTGAGCAGAGTGCATAATCAAATTTATTCTGTATCATGTTAAAGTAATCCATTCACCTTCTTCTCTTATGGGTGTATGGATTCCTCAACCTGTATGGCATTTTTAATTATTAATTTGTAAGATGTAAAAGTATTCAAATCTCAGTTATCTGTAATTGATGGTTTGCAGGTGTACAAGAGCGGCCCACTATTTTTGTCATCAAAAGGTGTGTTATCTTCATTGTTCGTTGCTTATACGCTTGGGAAGTAAAGCAAGTGTTACGTTGTTTTTCTTTCTCATGCGTGTGTTATTTTCGTGATGTTATTATGAATAATCAAAGTGCTCTTGTGCCCATGTCTTTGGTAGAACTTGCTGCTACATTGTCTTTCTTTGAGCCTTGAAAAATTGAGATTCTTCTTTTCTTTGTTTGCCTAAAGCTATTGATTTATCTTCATTGGCTTTCTTGATTGACCAGTCTGGTGCATATTCTGCTTCGACAAGAAACTCAGTAAAAAAGATATAAATCTCAGTAAATGAATTCTCCTATTCATACATTTCATAATTGTGCTGAATCCCTTGTACTTATCTGATGTTCACTCTTTATTACAATGTCTTTTTTGCAACTGTAAACCATTTAGCATCTATATTGTTTAGAAGGGACTTTCTATCATTCTGGTCCCTACGGTTTCATATTACTTGGCATTCTGCAACCTACATGCATGGTTTGCTTCTCGTAAGTCTCTATTATACACATCTTATACAGGGATTGGCTGGACTTCTTGGAAGAAAAGATGGTTTATTCTAACAGAAACCTCATTGGTCTTCTTTCGAAGTGATCCAGTAAGTTGCATTTATCTAATTGGTCTCATTGAAATTTAAAATCTTTTTTGCTATTTATTGAACCACCCTAGTTTTGTCTTTACGTATCCTGGTATTTTACATTTCTCACGTAAAAGTTTAGAAGAGATTGATTTTGCTCTTTGAGATGTATTCAATGACCAGAAGTATCATTAATTCTTTCTGATGTTTGTAGAATTGTATCGCTTCTCCTTTTGAAAATTTATACCTTCCATTCTCTAGCATATGTAGATATACTAGGAATATTTTAAAGGTTATATGTTCTTTACTTTTTCATGTAGAGTTTTATTACCTATCAATTTGGTTCATTTTTGAAATGGTTTTTTTTTCTTCCTACCACTTCAAAAGTACTGAAAGTCTTTGTGTAGAAACTCCCTTCTCAATTAACGTATATCCAATACTCACAAAAGAACACACTCATTGATGTAATAGTACCTTGAGAGCATAATTTGTGGGGAAAAGAGATTATGAGATCATGTAGGGACATTTGAGCCAAGTGACTTCACAGGTACCATTAGCAAGGCTCTATATTCAGCTTCAGTGGAGGATCTTTGACCCCACAAATTGTTTCTTTGCTTGCCATGAAACCACAAGAGGGACCTACGAACATGCAGTAGCTTGAAACAGATCTATGGGATGTTTCTGCAGCCACCCCATACTTGGTCACAAAAGGCAGTAAGCTGCATGTCACTGGGAGAGGGAAAGAAGAGACCTTGAACAAGAGACACCTTTTCTGTTACGAATTTGGTTGGACTGGACCATAATAAGAATAAACCAAGTATTCTTAAAGTATATTCTAGAAGGCCCAAAAAGGCAGAAAAAGAAAGTGGCTAATAGTTGGTTAGAGGAAAGAGTGTCTGCCTCTAAATAGGAAGGAGGTAAAGCCTATTTTGGATTAGAGAATGTTTTCCAAGTTTTATTATTAGCTCTCGCTTTAATGCGCAGAGAAAGGGAGGATTCCCTGGTTCATTTCCGTTATTGTATTTCTTTCCAATTTCAATTTCAATCATAGATATCCACTTTCCTCCATTATCCTTCTTAATTTGATAATCAAATTGTGATTTCCATCATTTTCTTAGTGCATTGTGCATGTGAGAGATTTCATGTTGGAGCAAGTACAAACTGACAGAGAGTTTGAGCAGAGTACAATGGATCAGGTTGCTAATTTTGAGATATAAAAGTTTATCAACCATCTTTCTGTAGAGATGTGGATCTTCCAAGGGCTGACCATCTTTTAATGTTAATTTGATGTTAGGGTCTAGGGGAGTAGTCGCACGTTTGAAATTTAGGATACCCATTTTATTCAACAATTCTAGAGCATATTTTTATAATTTTATTAACTCAGTGATTCCAAAACGGATTTATGATTTCTAGTTCAAGATAATAGTCGAGAGTACCAAAATCTCTGATGCTAAATTGATGATGGAGAAGGTCTTTATTCTGAATGATCATTGAGATGTTAGACCCTGCAAGAAGACCATCATCCACATATTAGTAATGGAAAAAATCAGGGCTCTTATGCTTGTGCATAGGGACTTGATCAGCATAGCTATGTGAGAAGCCATGATTCTTGAGAAAGGATGCAAGGCAAACCATTGTCTAATTGCTAGTTTAAGGCCATATAGAGACTTCTTGAGTTTGCAAACGTTGTTAGTAGAGACCGTAGCTTGATGGCTTTGCTGAAAAGTCATGTAAACTTCTTTACGGAGATGTAGGAACGCATTGTTATTGTCAAGTTGTTGAATATGCACTAAAAGTGTGATGAAAAAGCAAGTAATGCCCGAATGCCCTGAACATTGACCATTATTGCAACATTGACCTTTCTTTCTTCATAACTGTGAGTCCTGGTGATCCAAAGAACAATAAATCAATGCAGAAAGATAGAAATCAAGATAAAAAAACACAGTTTAGGGCAATAATTCATATGTCATTGATAGTCAAAGGATTACAAAAGCTCTGAGGGAGAATCTCTAGAGAGAAAATTACAATATTGAATTATGACAAATCTGTTCAAAAGTTAACTAATTCTCTAGAGAAAACAGACTGTTTATATACAAGTTCAGAAGACGTATTAAAGATACATGACAATAAATGAATGACCTATGAGAATATGACATGCATTCTTATATGTACAGGTCTTCTGAACTTGATCTCCTTTCATAGATAAGTACAGAGTTGATTTCTTTAAGCCTCAGTCTGATGAGGCATATCAGACTTTCCCAGCTGAAGTCCGACTCCAAAGAATCAGACATCTGAAGTCTTCAACACTTAGCAGATAATCCGAACTCTGATCTTACCCGAACTCTGAAGCTCTTGGTTCAGAGATAACACTTAGAAAATCTTTGCAGCCTTAACTCTCAACCTTCTTACCAGACTTTCATCACTTAAGACAAATCTTTGAGTTCTTTCTCTGAACCAATTCTGACTTGGATCTTTCAAAAACCTTTAGCAACGAGTCTTTGAATCTTGTAATTGATTGCATCGTGTTAGATCCTTATGGCCGGTAGAGGTTTTGTAGGAGGATAAGTTAGTTCCCATGTATTGTCTGCCTTCAAGGCTTTGATTTCATTGTCCATAGCTACCATAAATTTTGTTGGTTTTAATGCTTGTATGTTTAGTGTTTACTGACCACTATCAAAGGAACAAAATGTTCAGTGTGCGGTGAGAGAAGATAATAATTGATGAAATGAGTATGATGATTGTGGTGAATAGAATTGACTTGAGTTGAGGAATGTTACAACAATAATCTTGCAGCTGAACAGGTGGTCTTCTATCTCTGATAGAGTGTCTGAGAGATGGGTTAGCTAGGGGGTGCTTGTGGGGATGGGATGAAGATGGGATTAGGAGAATAAATTTGGGCAGGGAGGTAGTGGTGGAGAAGTTAGAGTCAACTGAAAGAGTGGACTAGTGGGTGTGGAGGAGACATGCTATGGATAGTGATAACAAAGAGTAATTGAGTCCCTAGACTAGGGCTTCTACATTGCCATCTATTTATACAAGTTACAAATGCAATTAGGAAAGATCTATTGAATCCAAATATAAATAGGAAAAATCTGCATAATCCCTAAAGATTAACATCATAAATCAATAATATATGGGGGAATAAATCCCATATTTATATTCTATCAAGTGGTCATGTGAGGGGAGATGGGAGTGTGGTGCTGTTGGAGGGGGTTGGCAAAGGGATGAGAAACTATTAGTGACATAGATGGTGTTGGATTTGATGTATATGATGGATAGGTGTATGTGTTGTGGGGATGGAAGTCCGTGGTTGTTGATGTTGGTGGTGTTGTAAAAGGACTTTCTTTTACAATACCATGTTGTTTAATGCCACTTTTATCATCCTTTAATCTTTTGTAGCTTCCATTTTCAAATTTTAATGCTTCTTAAAAGTGTCACTTTTTGGTATCTGTATCTGCATACCCTTGAAGACTTATTCGAGTGGAAGGATGCATTGGAGGATGATAAAAGTGATCTAATGCAAGACTTGTGTGAATTTGTCTTTTGAAAGTAATGATTTTTCCTAAAATGTTTCTCTACCTGACACTTGTGCATCGCATTAGTAGGATTATTTCAAGTTCTTTCATTAAAGGCTCATGTTCTTTGTCTGTGTTAGAAAACGGTGGATACTTTTCCACTAGTTGGCTCGTGGGGGTTATTTGATGATTAAAGATGTAGCTTTTATTAATATGCTGTAAATACTAGCTAAAGTTTTGCAAAGCTGTATTGATTTTGGCCGATCTTTGTTTTATTTTTTATGTCGGCTTTTGCTGTTCCAGAAGAAGCAAAATGCACAAAAAGAAATAAGCAGATGTCTTCAAAATTTTGGCTATTTTCATGTATTTGCTAGTTTTTTAATGTAATACCGAAGATTCTTTACATCCTCTGGTATGTCAATATTCAGAATGCAGCACCTCAAAAGGGGGGTGAGTCGAATCTGACCCTTGGTGGCATAGACCTCAACAGTTCAGCCAGGTTGGCTTGCTTATTCGTCTCCATGGCTCACATTATCCTTCTTTGAACAGATACTTACATGATATTTGGGATATCTGTTAGTAATGATCTCTTTCTGTATGTTTTAGTGTCGTAGTGAAAGCAGACAAGAAGCTCTTGACGGTGCTATTCCCTGTTGGTCGTGATGGGAGAGCGTTTACTCTTAAGGTGATCTTTTCATTGAAGTTGTAACATTGATCCTCCCTCTTTTCACATCAACTTCCTACCAGAATTTAATCTCTTAGATCAAAAAGCGAATGACATTTTATATTTCAAAAACAATTATAAGCTATGGGACTTCTGAGTGTTTTATTATTTATGGTAATATATTTCTTTTTATGTTTGTTCTCTTTTCATATCTGGGGGTGAGGAGAGTCCAGTTTGATATTTTTAGTGTCTCATTTTAGCTATAAATGATTGCATTACCGACTGTAACCCTTTATTTGCTTTGGAGGAACTGGACAGCTTCTACATTCTGCTGCTAATTGGCTCTAATTATTTAGGCTGAAACTACGGAAGACTTATTCGAGTGGAAGGATGCATTGGAGGCAGCTTTGGCAAATGCTCCAAATGCAGGTACAGGACCAGGGCAAAACGGGTTATTAAAAAATGAAAAAGGTGATGCTGCTGATGGTTCTCAGGAACAGTGTAAGCTTCTTCTTAGAATGATTATTTGTCAAAGTTAACATGATATTGCTGATGGTTTTCTTTTGCACACATGTAAATGACTTTTTCTGCTTTTTTGTTTTTATCCGACAGCAAAAGACCAACCACCAGCAAAATCAGTTGTACTTGGTCGACCGATCTTACTTGCATTGGAAGATATAGATGGAACTCCGTCTTTCTTAGAGAAAGCCCTTTGTTACGTGGAAGACTATGGTCTGATTCTGGCTTTACTTAATTTTTACAAGCTCGTTACCGATATATATAAAAGAAAGTTACTTGTACCACCCATATCTTTCACCTCAGAAAAAACTTGAAGCTATACACCATCAGTTTATCTATCTTGAACATTTTCGTCAAATGGGCCGCAAAACATTTTCAACATTCACACACATCATATGCTTTCCACAGCTCCAAGATGCATGGGAGTTGGTGAAATTTGGCCGCTATTCTTGACAAGTTTGGTTTCGCTTTCAGTGTTATTATGATTTGTTGATCAGACTGTAGCTCATTTTAAATTTTCTCTTGGTGTACATATGATCTAAAGAGCAATAAGGTTTAGGATATTGCAATCAACCATACAACCTATACTCTAATCATAATCGTTTGATAATAAGTTGCAATGTTGTTTTGTGTATATGGATGCACCTTGATTTAACATGAAGATCCCTCAAGCATCTCAATGGTAATGGGTGTGCATTAGTTTATCCCATGAACCTGTTCTTGTGGCTGTTAGATATGTTGAATATTTACCATTTTTTGCTGCTGACATATGTATAAATTATCATATATCGTGTGGAATTTGAGTTTAACTCTAGCATCTGTCCGGTTTTTATCTTTTTGTAATTGAGGCAATATCCTATTGAAGTATTATAAGGTTCACTTGTGGGAATTTATGATATGTCAACAATCATATGTCCTTGTGTTGATTTCGTTTCTCTTAAGTTGAATTATTTTGTCTTTCTGATCGAAGGAGGGGCATGTTTCAGGAGTCAGAGTAGAAGGAATCTTGCGGCAGGCTGCAGATGTAGATGATGTTGAGCGTCGAATTCGAGAATATGAACAAGGTGGATAATCTGGAATCAACTGCAATGCAAACAGTCGTTATCTTTTCACAATTTAGTTGAACCTAGTGTCCATTGAACAGTCTAAGATAATAAATTTATTAGTGGAGACTAACTAAGGGCCTTGATGGAGAGGGTTTTTATCTTACTTAAAATGTGAAAGTATACATGTGACAAGCATATACGGAGGTGGATGCGAACGGAAGATTGGTATCATATTCATCGGTTTTCAACTGTTGATGATGTTAATTATAATATTTTACCACAGTGGCTATATAATTTATGAAGCCTTTTCTCTTAGAAAGTTTCACGTAAGGGAGAACTCAAGTATGATTTGTTACAGGAAAAACGGAGTTTACTGCAGATGAAGATGGGCATGTTATAGGAGACTGTATCAAGGTATGTTATATAAGTACATTATGCATGTTTGGCACATTATTCTAGTGCTGTTTATTTAATTTTCCTTGCTTTTTTGTTGTTGTTTTTGAGATCTGACTTTTTTTTTTTTACGATACTGTTTCAGTATGTTCTTCGTGAGTTACCATCACCCCCAGTCCCAGCATCCTGCTGTGCTGCATTGCTAGAAGCATATCGTAAGTTTTTCATACATTATAAACTTACCTACAATACCATCTATTGGATTATTCTGTGCACTTAAACAATCATTTGAGTTACCTAAGCCACATCACATACACACATACATAAGCATATGTCCGAATTGTGAGTATGCTTTATGTCTAAACTCTAATGCATCCTCAAGATTCTTCAACCAATCTTGTTCGAGGTTCAAATTAATAATAGATGCTCTTTCTTCCCTCCATTATTTATGGTTCTTCTTTGTTTTTTGATGGTGACTCATTGTGCAACTAATTTGCTTTTCTCCTTTTCTACTTTTTTCTACGACTCTCAAATGACTATCATATCTATTATGATTTGAACCATCCTCTTTTTCTATACTATTCTATATGTGACCCCATCACCTACTCCAACACATTTTTTCTTTGCTAATGAGCTCATTTGCTTCATTTATCGTTATTAATACGGTTACATCAGTGACTGCACTGGAGTCACAACAGTGCTTCAAATGCAACTAAGCATGAAGTAAGGAGATAAATGTAGACTGAGATTTGCATGGAAAACCGAAAATGGGAAAAACCCATGGGGGAGGAAGTTGTTGAGCGTTTAGTCTGGTGGGTGATTTGGGAGGCATTTTCTACCACCTTAAGTCCTTAACTCAAACTCATCCAAACGAACACGTAACCAAACCATAAACATCAAAACAAAGAATAATCATAATAAATGGTTTTCTATCAAATGTAAAACAGCATATTTCACCTGTTCTGCTGAAAGCCCAAAGGGCGTAGTCACATCGTGTAGCTCCGACCAAATTCAAGCAAAGCCGAAACTTGGTCACCGGTAGTGTCTTTGTGCTCAAGACCAAATTACCGGAAGCAATGTTCCCACATACAAAATGGATAACAAACATCAATTATCATCTGATCTTTCATCACGAGTATTGCACTTTGATTATCCCAGTTGACTGTGTTCACTTGTAGATCACAACATCCTTGAACTAGAATTGGGATTAAATCTCTTCTAACCACAATCTTGTTCTTTTTGGTCTAGATTCCAATCACTTAACTCTTCTGGTACCCTGGCGACTTAAACTGTTTCTAACTTTACATGTATCTTCTGCAAAAGCAACATCAAGATCAATCTAATATTCTCTTGTGTCCAAGCTATGCTTCTGCTAATACTCTCTCTCTCTCTCTCTCTTTTTCTCTCTCAACCAAACAAATAAGTTAACTTCTAAAAGCTGGTTATTGAAATGATTTAATCGTCTTCCATATATTCTCTTGCTCAACTATAATTTTTGGTTATTCACTTTTCCATTTTCATCTGTCTTGCATTTAGAATAGGATTCTTTTATTATGATCCATATAGGCATAGCTTCTCTTGGGTTTCAAATGGTTTTTCCTGTAGTTTATTTATAACAAGGAAGTAGATATTTGTAGCAGTTGCTGACATGTTTGTAGTTGCTTTAGTCTTTGTCTTGTTTTTTCTTTTCTCTCAGATTTTTACCAGTTTCCTCCATCAGTAGGGGCTCACAGATACATGTTCATGTACTCAACGCCATCTCAAGCAACATTTTACTCTATGATGAAATATAAATTTAATGTTGAATGGTTCTTAAAATAGATTGTTAAGCCATAATACTTATCCATTTGTGGTGTATGCATTAGTTTCTCATGCTTAACTTAAGAGATGAAAGATAACCATTTACACTTGAGAAGATGGAAAATGATATTTTACATGTGCTTATGCTTGTTTGATAGTTATTCTTGTGCTTTGATAGTAATGAGCAACTCTGTGGTTATGGTTAGGATCTGATCGGGCCACAAGAGTCAGTGCCATACGTGCAGCTATTTGCGACACATTCCCAGAACCTAATCGCCGTTTATTACAGAGGTAATTTTTTAGTGTTTTTCTTTCTAAGCAAGAAACAACTGAGAAATACTCCATTCAAGATGCATTTGGTTCAAATGTTTGCAGGATATTGATAATGATGGAAGCTGTTGCTGAGAACAAGGCTGTGAACCGAATGAGTGTTTCAGCCGTTGCGGCTTGCATGTCACCACTACTTCTTCGACCCCTTTTGGCTGGTGAAGTTGATCTCGGAAAGGGATCCGATATGGGTAGTGATGGGTCTGGTCAACTTTTACAAGCAGCTGCAGCAGCTAATCATGCTCAAGCAATTGTTATCATCTTGATAGAAGAATATGATAAAATATTCGGGGTAGGCTGCTCTACAAGTTTCTTTTCTTCACAATCTAGTATTAGGAAGCTTACCACAAATTAAAGTTCGGAAAGAACATTTGGTCTTACATGGTTTTGAGATGAAACTAAGAATAAGGTATTTGCAGGAAGAAGACATGTTAAGTGATCTATACTCCGACTCAGATGATTATGGAAGTGAGAGTGAAGATCTTAGTGCTGAGTACTATGAAGATGATGACTACTATGAAGAAGACGATGATGATGATGATGCTGACAATGGTTCTTGCTCATATGAAGATTCAGAACATAGATCAAGTACTGGCTGTAGTGAGAGTGGAGACAGTTCTCGAGATCACACCAAGGTTGGAATTGTGCAAACAACTTTAGATATATTATTGTTATCATTATCATCTCTTTTCTTAATGTTTTGTAATTGCAGGGTTTTGTTAGCACAAATCCATTTGATGACGAATTTAATGATAATTTAGAGGTTAGTAATGACATTTTCAGAACAGCTTAATACCCATTTGGAAAAGCAAACGAATGAGTCTGTTGGGCGTTCACAGGATGAAGAGTTCATTACTAGAAGACATGCTATTCGTCGACGATCTAGTGTAAGTACATAGGTCTTTTAAGCAAAATAAGACATCATGATCATCTTTAATACTTGTTTTTCTTCCAAAGGGCAGTCAAAGAAATCATCAGAGTTGGCGAACATTGAATTTGTAACCGAACAACAGTAAGAGAGACAGTCCAAGACTTGAGATAGTTGTTTGTTGATGCTATTATATTCTGATTTTCAATCTGTTATTAGGGCTGAAATATTGAGGCTTGAGGTCACTAAAATTAAACTGAAAGAGATAATTGAAGCAGAGGTAATTCTTGATGATTCTTGAGCAAAGAGTTAACTTTGAAAGAAAGCTGATTTGATATCCACACTGGATTTGCAGGCGAGACGAAATGACATTCTGAAAGAGGACTTAGTGAGCAAGAAGAATGCTTTAGAGGCGCGACGTGTAGGTCTTCTGCAGGAGGTATTCACCCGAATTACTATTAGTCCCATTACTAATGACTAGTCATTATGTTAACATGATTTCTAATTGTGTCTTTTAGGTGTCAAAACTAGAGGAAGAGTTGCACAAGTCGCAAGGAACCATTAGCGATGAAAAAGTCTGATAATTCTCTAATCATCTTAAATGAGTTTTGTTTATGGGTTAAATCATTAACTTGTAGATGTTCCAAAGACAAATGCAGATCCAGACGATATTATTATTGACGAGGCAGAGGCTGATGATCCTGGGTTACAGCAAAATTGTAATTATCAACCACCAACGACGACTCAAGATCATGGAAAAGTGTAAGCAACATCATCCATCATCATCATCATCATCTCCTCTACATTTCAAAAGTCATTTTTTAAGAAATCTGTTTGGGTACAGAAAAGATAAAGACAAGGATCGCGAATCTACAACTAGAAGTAAGGTAGCATCTTTATAACCTACAACTAGTTGATAAGAATTTTGGTTTTTTTCTAGTTAAAATCTGAAGGGTTTTAGTTTGGTTTGTAACAGGACACAAAGGAAGATGGTGATAGTAAACATGATTATTTTCATTCATTTTCTAACAAGTTAACTCCAAGCTGGCATTCTGATTCAGATCGCAATGAACGCAGTATGAGCAAGTCTACGAGCTCTAGAAAGTCTCATTCAAAGGGGGAGGTACATTAACCACAACAATGTGATTATTATGATTATGATGTAATGAAATCCAAAATTTTATGTCTGAGTTTAAATCATGTGGTTGGCAGGCAGCAAATACAAGTTCAGCCCTGTCGAAAATTACAAACAGGCTCAACTTCTTGAAAGAAAAACGCAATCAAATGACTGATGAACTGCAGTCGGCGGATAAAACCACCCACAATAATCACAGAGGCAGTCGAAAATGGTCGGATGATGAATCGGATAAAGGAAAAGAAACTTGTGTCCAACAAAGGGAATTGGCTTCTGGAAGATCAGAAGATCAAGGAAGATGATCCATGCAGGTTCTTTTCTGATTAACTTGAGAAGCAAGTTTCTTGAATTGAATGACAAAGGAAACATGGTGGGATTTTTGTTGTATCAAATCTTTATTGAACAATTTGGGAGCAATATGATTTAAGTGAGGATTAGAATCTAAAATTGGTTGCATATTATTGATATGACCAAATCAAGATAGTTTTATCTTATGTATTTATAAAATTGAGATATTTGCAAAAAGAATTGTGTTCTTTCAAATATATGAACCGGGCACGAAAACCCAGATAAAGACCAAGAGTTACAATCGTCCATTTAGGTGATGTTTATTTTTTTGAGAGGTGTTTGAAATTTGAAGTCTTATTTCACTTTTGATTTATAAGAGGTGATACTGAAGTTTGAAATCTGAATCGGTAAGACTCTTTGTTTTTGTAAACTCTAAAGTTTGAAATCTGAATCAATAAGACTTTTTTTTAAGCTGACAAAGTCTGAAATTGGTTCGGTTTTTGATAAGTGCACTAGCTACCACCATATTTTGCTTGAACCCGAATCTAAGAACAACACCATGGATTTGCATTCCTAATTCCCGATACCCTAAACTAGCATAATAGTTCAACAAACTTGTGTGCCTGTAAATTCAAGCGAGTAATATGATCAACTTTGACCTTTTCCGGCAATATTCTCTTAAAATAACACAAACCCAGATGAGAACCACGAATCAAAGTATTTCAAGTAAAGTTGTTCATGGGCGGGACGACCCATTAGACTCGCCCATCCGGTCCTCTAGAAATACGGGCCGGATAACCATTATTGAGAAAATGGACGGGCGTGGATTTGTTTGTTAAAATTAACTGGCGGACATGAACAATGTAAAGATAAATATGGAAGGCCCGCCCAACCCATTTATATTTTATAATTAGTATTTTTTACCATTAATTAAAATTGTACTAGTATATTTTAAAATTAAACTATTAAAATTATAGGATGAGACTCTTTGGTTTTTCTTGAGAACCCAAAAGGCTAAGCTAGTAAGCTTCATCATTAGCTACTGATAGGGGTGTAAATGATGCAAGTCGAGCTCGAGTATCAATATATGCTCGACTCGAACTCGATAACCATTTCTCAAGCTCGAACTCGACTCAAAAGTTCACGAGTAGTTAAAAACTAAACTCGACTCAAACTCGATTGCAATTTTTTAAACTCGAACTAATTTGAAGCTCAAAACAAGCTCGAACTGCAACTCGAATCAAGCTCGAACTCAAACTCGAATCGAACCCGAACCAAGCTCACCCATTGAAATTTATGAAATTTTAGGATCTTCTCTTATAAGTTTTAAAACTAAAAGGTGTTCTCTTAGTTTTATAAAACCAAAGGGATCCACTTCAAATTTTATCATCAAAAAGATAAAATTAGAAATTTCATTCACCTCCCTGTCTTTTTATAACATCTTTTCTTACATCCTTTACCATCTCTCTTCCAATGAGGGACAATTTCACCAACATTTTTATAGTTTTTTTTTCTTTTTTTAATTGTGAGTTTAATAAAAAATAATTTATTAATTTTTATAATTAAAAAATGCATAATTTTGTTCAAATATCTAAAAAAATAAGATATTTTTATTATTTACATTTTTACAAATTTTATTATAAAAATTGATTATATTTTAAAACTAATTATATATAAAATAATCGAGTATCTCACGAGATTTTTGAGTCGAGTATTGGGTATCTTGACTCGAGTGTCGATATGTCGAGCCAAGCTCGAGTTCGAGTTTGAGCCGAGCCTATTCGAGTCGAGTATTGACCGAGCTTTGATCGAGTCGATCTCGAGTAGCTCGCGAGTTGTCTCATATAATTTACACCCCTACTTACTGACACATTTGATGATTCTTTTTTTTTTTCCTAATTGATTCTAACTTGCTAACAAATTATTATGGATGATTTACAAAGGGCTCATGGTCGAATTTGTTTTACAACCGATAATTGGAGAAGTGAACATACTCAAGACGAATATATGTGTATAACTGCTCACTGGGTTGATGCAAATTGGAAATTGCAAAAAGAGAATAATTAAACTTGGGGCTTTAACGCCTCCATTTGATGGAGTGTCTCTTACTGATGAGATTGCATCGTGGTTAGGTTAATGGAAAATTGCTTGCAAAGTTTTTGGTTTCACTATAGACAATGCATCGTATAGTGACTCTATGATTAGTTGTCTTAGAAATTATCTCGAAAGAAAGAATTGTTTAGTTTTTGGTGGAGAGTTTTTTCATTGTCGGTATGCTTGTCATATCACTAATCTTGTGGTACAAGCGGGATTAAAGCTAATTGATGATGTTGTTATCAGGCATAATTAAGCATTTTTGACACTCGATCCTAAAAAAGAAAAAAGTTTTGTATTGTTGCTGAAACAAATTTTGGCATTAAGACAAAAAAAGTTGCATGGAGATAATTATATAAGATGGAATTCAACCTTTTTTATGCTTAATTGCTTTATGTATTTTAGAAATGTGATTGATTATGTGGTTAGTCGAGATAAAGGTATCAAAATGTTTGCTCTCTCAATTGATGATTGGAATAGAGTTAGTGAGTTACATTCGTTTTTGAAGCTTTTCTATGATGTGACCAGTGGCGGATGTAAAGCATTGGTGATGGGGGCACTTGCCCCCAACAAAAATTCTTTGTGCAGGCTAAATTTTTTGAAACCACTTGAAATATTTCAATATTTATTATTTAGGCCCCCAACTAATAAAAACTAATCTCCACTCACTCTCTCAATTTTCCATATCTTTTTTACTATGTTTCTTACAATTTGGATTAATGTTACATATCAACATTTGCTTTCTTACAAATCGGTTTAGTGGTTTCTTCATCTAGTTATCCGATCCGTTTATGAATCAATCGAATTTTGTATTAATGTGTATTGCCTTTACTTACTTTCACTTTAACTGAAGTAGTAAAATACTAAATAGTAGTATAACTGAAACCAACTAAAACAAGTTATCTTTATTCGATTAACCGAATTGTTTAAGCCGAACAACGAATAACCTGAAACCGTCTTAGTTATGATGCCTTGTTCGGTTTGGAATTTTTTTACACCCTGAATGTGCCCCCAATCACAAAAATTTCTAGATACGCCACTGGATGTGACTAACACATTTTATGCCTCTAAGAATCCAACTGCGAATCTTTATTCTGATGGTGTATGGAGGATTCATGGAAAGTTAATAGAAGTTACAAATGGTCCTTCTTGTAGTTTGTCATCCATGTCCAAAGATATGTAAGAAAAGTTTGATTAATATTGGTCTGATTATAACATTCTTCTTTCTTGTGCTGCTGTTTTAAATCCTCGTTTTAAAATAGAAGGAGTTGAATATTGTATGAGAAATTGTATGGGGAAACTTATGCTAAGGAGATGGTTTCATGCATTAAGATTACTTTGTTTGACTTATTTGATGAGTATAAGAGGGTTGCATGTGGTGCAACTTCTTCTACTTTTGCTAGTAGTTTCAGGATGACAAATGTTTCTCATGATGTTGGTAGTGACGAGAATCAAATGGATGACATTTTAGAATATGATATGCTCTTGAGTAAAAAGAGAAAAGTGGAAAATGACAAGAGTGAGTTGGAGCTCTACTTAGAGGAGAAGAATTTTGATGTTATGGGAAAATATGATGTATTATAATATAAGTTCGGTACGTTATCCAAATCTTGCATGTATGGATCGTGACATCTTTACCAGTCACATATCTATAGTCCCTTCTGAATCTACTTTTACCTAGGGAAAGAGATTGATAAATCCTTGGAGAGCTTCTCTTGGAGAGAAGACCATTGAGATGCTTGCATTAGTACCAAATCAATAAGCAAAACAGAAATCGATCCAAATCAGTAACCATACAGATCCAGATAGTAACATTGTTGATCCTCTCTCTCAGTGATTTGATGATAATCCCTTTTACCTTATACGAAGTATTATTGTTTCTGTCTTTCAGTTCCAGCGATCATCACTGAGTCTGTTCAGTGATCGCTGAGAACATGTAATGTAAATCCATCAGCGACAGCGATACTTCAAGAAGACAAAACTCACACCAAAGAACCTTCAGCGAAAGTCGAAGACTGACACTGAAGATTAGAGACTGGAGAGTTCGTGATCTGAAGCGACATTAAGTGATTACAACCTGGTCTACATATGCGTGAAGACTGCCCAAGCCTCAGCGAATGCTGAAGAGACCTTCAGGGTTATTCCAGCATTCATCGATCAAAAGAAGCTTGTTGTGCAAGATTGTTTTTGTCTTGTCCTTCCACACACAAAAGACAAACCCATACCCTTTCTAGAGTATAATATGGTACGAAGCCAATTAGTTGACTCTATTACCCACCAACTCCATGAAAGGATGTCTGCTCATGAATAGGCTTTTGTACTATTCACTATAGCAAAGAACAAGTCTTTCTCTAAAGGATTGACGCGTGTTCAATCCATACTGCATTGCATTAAATGTGCATTTAGTGCAATGGGTATTAATAGATGTGTTCTATCTCCATGCAGAGATACTCTTACACTTGAACCCTAACTCTTGCGTTCGTACGTGAAAGAACACACATCTAAGAACACAATACACTTATCTTCAAAAGCAAGTTAGAATCCCTTTTAAAGTATTATGAATAGTTATTATCCAGAAAGAACTTACTTTCTTCTAAGTTTTAAACAAAAAATCATTTCTCTTTGCTAAGAACTTGTGTGTAACTTAGATTGTTTAGATAGGTTATCTTTACCTTATCTTTTCCGCAAACAATCTTGTAAAATCTGTATTGATCCTTCTTTATCAGTATATATTTTAAATTTGAAAAGTTTACTGTGTTTGTATTCATCCCCCCTTCTACAAACTATTTATACACATCTTATAGACCTTAACGATACCAACAAACATAACAGATCTACTAAATCAGTAAAAAAACAGTAACAAAAATGGAGATGATGGAGAAACCATAACATATAGAAACATAAATTGTACCAAAACAAT